TTCAATTATTGTATTCTAGGTCTTTGTGTTCTATGTAATTATGCTAGAAGACTGAATCTACCATTCTATCATTTTTGTTGCAGTTGTGTTGAGGATGACGAAAGTGCCTCCCACCTGCTTTGTTTCTGTCCGGCACATGCGCGGCGTCGCCTTAAAGTTTTGGGGGCTTTCTTTTTTGAGGATCTTTATGAACTTCGAAATCTCCCTCTATATAGCATCATAAGCTTTATTAGAGGTTTTAGATGGTTTTAGCCCATGAGTTCTCAATAATACGGTATCACAATGGACCTATAGGCTTAAGTGGATCCCCCTGGCATCGCCGGTACAACCTAACCTAACCTACATTTCAATTAACAAACGTTAACAGCGAGATAAGAAGTATGGTTAGATTAGACACACACTGCGTAACCCTTATGAAGATATCGCGCATGCTGATTAGTAGGATTATTTGTAGGATTATGTCGTACAAAATAAAATCTTTAAATACTTTTAATTACTTTTTCTGAATATTCAACAAAAATTCTCTTCTTAGCCGTACAAGGGTAACATATGTGTAGTAATGTGGAATGGGAATGATAGATCCTTTTAAACGATTAAAGAGTCATCATAGATTAAAGTTTTAATTTGATATTATATATGTTAGATTTCAAATCAATATATGTTTTATATATACTAATGTATGTAAAACTAACACCAATTATCTTTGGAATATAATATTTAGGAAATTGTTCAGCTATGTTGGCATAAAGTACTTAATACCCCAGACTCAGTGCCATAAGGATTATTAGAGATAATTAAGTAACGTACATCTTCAATATCTTTAAAAGTTTTTTTGTGTTCTCTAAGTTATCTATTAACATTTTTTTAAAATCCTTATAATAATAAATCTTCTTTTTCTTTCTTTGATTATTCTTTGTATTTTGAACATATTCGAATGTCACATTGTAGTGAAATTTTTGTTAAATTTTTGTTAAGATTATAGGTGACCACACAGGTTGGTCAGAGCTATCAGTAATGCTTTCAGATGCTACAGCGCGCAGTATAAATTCCATTAGCTTATCCATTTTCATTGTTATAAAATTATCATTTTTACATTATTACCACGTACTTTTTTACTACTTCTCCGGTAGTAAATACACATTAAAGTACTCCAAAATTACCATGGGAAAATGAAAAAAGCGAAAATGAGTGGTAAAAAAGACGAAATTATTGAAATTGAATATCATAAAAGTAGCAAATAATAACACTTAACGAAAATGGAATATCGTTGGGTTATATATTAAGGAGTCACAATGTAGTAAAAAAAATGAGATTGAAGTAAAGAAGACCAATACGCTTTTTTCATTTTGGGAAACGAAAATTACCATACAAAGTGTCAAGTCTACTTCAATTACCAGGTATTAAAGTGTCATTTTACTGGCACTTGAGTGAACAAAAAAAAAAAAAAAATAAAAAAATACAACATATAAAGTAGAATAATTGGAATGATGACATCAATGATGACGTGTTTGAAGTGGCCCTGGTACCACTAAAAATTGCTTCACTAACAAAACAAATATGGAAAGGAAAAGTTATATAAAAAATGAATAATAAAAATTAAAAAAAGTTAACAATTTAATGCCAATAGACGCAGAGACGGTTATCTCAGTTTATTAGAGCAAAGGCCACACGTAAACTGCCTATAGGTAGTTGCTGCGCTATATCTTAAACAATGTATCTGCGGCTGGAACACATTCTTCGTGTACTCTAAATTCAACTCACGTACGATTACGTTTTTCACATGCAACATTATTGACATTTTATTACAATGGATTGTGTGGTACTGGTGGTAGACTCGTATGTACCGCTCTCGGCCTTTCTGACAAAAAATCATATTAAATAAATATAAAAATCGTGTATTTTTCTAACGACAGAAGGTTAAATGAGTTTAATATGAAGAGCATACAAATGTTTTGATTTTAAATTGATGTTTATTTATTTATACTTTATTAGAGAAACTGTAAATAATAATAAGGCATAAAATTTGTGTACAAACGGTAACGGAAGGAAGTCCTTTAGGTTCGTAGCATTTTTTGACTGTTAGAAAAATATAAAAAATATTAAAAATATTTCTTTATAATGGAAAATTTCAGTTAAACTAATGGGTTTCAAATTTTATTGGGTTCGTTCTTCGTATGAATTTTTAATCATTTGTGTAGGAGTTTGTGGAAAATAATAGGTATCTATTATAAATAAATAAAATCTAAAATTGCCAATAAAATAAGGCAATAATACGATTATATATGAAATATATATGTAATTTAGTAAACTAAAATATAAGTTATAAATTTGGGCTGTGTGCTTTCTTTGGAACCCAAAGCGTGCAATAAAAATTGGCAGGAACGATGGATTTACTGCATGCAACTAATATCACAATTCGAGGTAGTTTTTCTCGACATTATATTTCATGGCAAATTCCATTTCAACCATTAAAGATTGTTTTTTCTTTACTTTTTTCCAACTTTTTGGTCGTTTATATTCGAGTCAGTTTATGCGAGATGGTAGTTTATGATATGTGTGTAAAAATGTAGTTTATTTTTTTTGAGCGGAAAACATAAAAATTTTATGAGCTTCGCAAATCCTAAAAAACAATTTTCAGTAAAAACTTTATAGACCGTGGTAAGTCGCAGACTGAAAGGATTTAATTGTTCACATTAGAATTACTAAAATATTTTATGAGTTTATGAGAAGAGAAACATGCCCGTTAATTATGGTTTAAAACATTCTGATACCACACTTGGAAGAGTTTTATTAAGGAAATTACAAAGGTGAGTCAATTAGTTTATAGTTAGAAAAGTATTTTAACTGTGGCAAAATTATATCAGGTGTAATTTGTTATTTGTTTAGAATGGGTAAATATGGTAGTATAAGCAGAAAATTCCTTATTGTTTTTCAAACAGAAAGTTACACACCACGTACATGGGTTATACGGAAAACTAACAAAACCTGTAATTTAAAGGTATATTCGACTTGACTAGAACTATTATTTACAAGTAGTAAAAAAAATAAGACACCTACTACCTCTTGCGGTTTGATCCACAAAAACTTATGTATATAAACTTGAAGTCAACCTGAGCTTGTTCCACAACATATAAAATAAATAGATCTGCTTATAGGAACCTTTTTTTTTACTATATTTAATATAATTTTATTTTATAATTATAAAATTTTATACTTAAAACAAAATTATACTTTTGGAGCAATCAAACTGAAGAATTCAAGAGAATTGTATATCAGCAAGTGGATATTATAATAGCTATATTAAATCTATATTTATTTAACAAGAAGTTTAAGACCATCTAAGTTGGTAACGATGATTGAAATACCGTAAGGTATAGAAAAAAAAGAGCAAAACAGTAAAAGAGTTAAAATAAAAAGAATGTGAGAAAATAAAACTAGAAGTTGAATATAATACAGATATCAAAAATAATAAAGAAAGTGAGAAAATATAAGTAGACAAAAATAGAATATATAAGAAACAACAAAAACAAATGATAAACAATTGGAAAGAGAGGGATAAATAGAAAGAAAGAAAGAGATAGAGAGTGAGAGATAAAAAAAGAAAGAGAGATAATGAAAGACAGAGAGAGTGAAACAGAGATAAAGAAAGATAGAGAGATAAAGAAAGATAGAGAGATAAAGAAAGATACAGAGATAGAAAGAGAAACAAGTAATAAAAAGAAAGGTAGAGAGAGATAAAACAAGAAAGAGAGATAAAGAAAGACAGAGAGATAAAACAAGATAGAGAGATAAAGAAAGACAGAGAGATCAAGAGAATGGAAATAGAGAAGAGTGAAGAGCGACAACAAACAAGTGGAAGCAGGAGAACGTTCGAGAGAGACCGAGAGAAATATTGAAAAACAGAGAGAGACAAAAAATATTGAGGGAGAGAACGAAAGAAATATTGAAAAACAGAGAGAGACAGAAAATATTGAGAGAGAGAGAGAGCGAGAGGAATATTCAAAAACAGATGGAGACAAAAAATATTGAGGCAGAGAAAGTATGAAAAATATTGAAAGAGAGATAGAGCGAAAGAAATATTGAACGAGAAAGAGAGACCGAAATAAACATTAAAAGAGAGTGAGAGATATATTGAAAGAGATGGAAGAAGTACAAAATTAGAGAGGCAGGGAAAGAGAAAAACGACAAAGAGAGAGAGAGAAAAAAAGAAGTGACTGGACATGAGATGGAGGGTGAGAAAGGAAGGAAAAAGAGAGAGAACTGGAGAGACATGGATTGAAAGAAAGTATAAAGTGATATTAAATCTCAAAAAGTGCTGATTTGTAACATTAGTTTACAATCAAAAAGTTCTAAAATTTTCCCTACAATTGAAAAATTATGAAGATTTATTTTTCTTGTGTACCGTTTTATCGTTATTCGCGATAAGCTATCATTTTGGTTTTTCTCATAACATTTTTTGTTTTCAAAATATAAAATATTATATGCAAACAAAAGCTGTAAATAGTGCAAGTACTTAAAAGCACCTTATGTTGAGGTCGTTTAAATACTATATCTTATATAGTATTTATTGTTATTATCTTATTTTAAACTAAAACCACAAAAAATTATCTGTAGAAGTAGGTTGCGTCTTTAAAAAAATATTGTTTTTTTTTTAATTAAAACTAATTTAATTATTGAAAATCAGTTTAATGGCAAAATATAATTAGAAAAATTAACTACAATTAACTTCTTAATATATTCTTCATATATGTCAAAATATGAAGAATATATTAAGAAGTTAATTGTGTAAAACCGAGTGTTTATGAAGCAATCAAAGTAAAATTTCAATCTTTGACTTGATTTATGTGCTTTTCATTGCGAAAAGTATTACAACGATAATTAAGCGTGTAATTAGGTCTACTGAAAATGGTGGAAAATTAAAAAATGAAAAGTAAAAGACCCTACTGTTAACATAAATATTAAAGTGGAAAGGAAGAGAAGCAAATAAAAAATGTACTTACAAAGTTGCTCCTTCGTTCTTGTTTAGTAAGAAATGAAACTCTTCTTGGCATGTAAAGACTGCAACAAAAAAAAAAAATAAAGAAAAAATTAAAAAAAAATTTCAAGCGAATTAAAAGAAAATTTAAATATTAAATAAAAATTATGCTAAATCAGGTCATGAACAGTTAAAAAATATAACCACTTCTTTTAAGCCCATTAACTTAAAGATATTAAGTGACAAAAAAAAAAAAAAAATTAAACAAATAAAATAAAAAAAAATGTTGTACTAATGATAGTTTGGAACTGAACTAAACTAAAAGTTCCATCGCTCTATTTGAGCTCTTACTCGAAGTAGTTGGGACAGATAATGTGTGGTAATTGAGTGGGTGTCTATTTGCACTACACCCACAAAGTAGAAAGACGAAGTAGAACTATAAATGTTGCATTGTTAAATTACAAATCAATAGAAAAGCGAAAACTAGAGCAAATGTGGATGTTGTGACACTAGACAGGAAGGATTTGTGCCAGTTTGTCTAATGACAACACATTTCCACCCATTTACAACCACATCTAAGGTGGGTCGGAATGTGCTATGATAGGTTGGTAGGGTACATTTTTTTTCATGCATTTTGAATTTAAAAGTTGCAATTGCTTGCTGTTTTTAATTCAATATTTAATATTTGTGTAAAAAATTATGCAGACTGCATTTTACTGTAACTTTTGAATACTAAATCTTGTTATCTTGTGATTTAGTTTCTCAACTCTTACATGTGAATAAAGAAATAAGTATGTGTGATATGTAAAATGTAATGTTGCCACATGGAATTTCAATTAGCGGTGCCGATGCCGATGCCGATGCCACTGCCATGAGATCCTGCGGCACGTTTATACACGAGCAGACGTGGTATGGCAACTAAAAAATGTCGCCTCTGCGTTGTGTCCGACAATTTAAATAAAACATAAATAATGTGCTTGTTTCACCGAGAACGACCGGTGGCTGCAATGGATACACTAGTCCTACACGACTAATGTGTAGTACGGTACTACTTTTACAATAACACCGTGCACTATGCACGGCTCTGTAAGCCTTTTGTGCAATTACGTGACACCGCTGACATTAGTATCTCATAGTTGTCGTTGTCGTAGCTGTTGTTGTTGTTGTTGTTGTTGTTGCTGCTGCTGCTTGTTGGAGTCCCTATCTTATAGCATATCTTGACTGTTTGTTTCTGCTTCTAGGCAAGTAGGAGTCGTTGTTTGTACTCTGTTGAATGGTGTATGAGTGACCCTTTAGGTTACTAATTTCCTCGTGTCTTTTTTTCTTTATTTTCTGTTTTCGTGTGCACCAATTCTTTATTTCAAGCTCATGTGGTTCCAGTCGTTCACTATGCAACTGACACGACTTTTGTGTTTGTTCATGCAAATTTCCGTGGCTGTCTATCTTCTCTGACATGGTAGGTCTGGTCTGTTTGTCGTTTACTCGCCTGCTCTTGCCGGGTGATTGTCTAGGTTGTGTTTGCTTGTCTGTCTGTACGTTTGGCTGCCTGCTTTTGTCAGTGAAGTGCAGACACCTTAAACGGTTGACAAACAATTTAAATGTAAATTACACAAACAATGCAGAAGTCATAAGTGTGCATTTGTCCAACAAAAACATTGCATGCGATTTCTGCTGATAATTTTAAATTATGAAAAATGAAACAAAAAGGTAATTTAATTAGGAAAAATAAAAAAAATATTTATCTTTTTTAAATGTTTATTAGTAAAACTTTTGAATCATAATATAAACACTTATATTGACATAAATAATTATCAGATAAACATTTAAGAGCAGACAACAAAGTTAATTGTTCCATTTCAAATCAGTTGTATGTAAGAGTGTTTCAAGATTATACTTTAACAAAAATGGTAAGAAGTAATAAATAGGTAAACAAAATAGAAGATGTATATAAAATATTTATTATTTATTTATTATTATAAAAAGTAGATATTAATAAAACTATGAATTTAGCATATGCAAATGTGATATTGTCGAAAATGTCTTATTAATCAAAGATTAATCAAAGTCTTCTTATTTTTACAATAATAATATGTATTATTTAAGAAGGGTATTTTAGTTTTCAACAAGAATATTTTTATTCATGCAAAAATTATTAAAGATCTGCGAATATATTAGATTCTATATTTTATATTTTACAGTTTTTCTTTCTTGTTAAGTATATTTATTGCGATTTCGGTCTTTCAATAACAAAATAATGAATTAACAAGACTTTATATCAGAATTAATTACGGCTTTGGATCAGTTGGGAACACTTACTGACTCTCTGCTCCAAATTTGGTAGAGTACGAGTTCAACTCTACTAGAAGTCTCAAAAAGTTATTTACGAATAATTGAATATATGAATTCCAAATTACCACAGATGATGGGTATTTGATAATGCTTCAAAGAGCTGTATGGGCAGTTAAAAATTTAATTAATTAAAAATAACAAAATTTTGTTGTTACAACTTAGTATTGTACAAAATCTCACTATTAAAAACAATAGTTTGTACTACAAAAATAGTTTCTTAAGTCGCCACTGATGTTAAAAATCAATTTAATAACAGAATGTTTATATATCAAGTTAAATGAAAATCAGAGAGTATCCATAACTAAGACCCTTTCCTATAAAGAGTGCGCCGTATTACGAAACTTAAGAAGTTAAGATGATTAAGTTATTTCTGATTTAAAATGAGAACATTTCTGAATAGTGCTAAGATAGTTATAGCACAGCTTGTGCTGATAGTTCAGTGACTAATAGGCGTACAAGCAGAAAAATAAGATACGGTCCTTAAACAAAATAGTAATAAATACAAGAAGGAAGAATAATAAGATATAACTGAACACTTTTACGCAGACACTTTAATACGGAAAAGTTATTAAGCTTATCACTAGCGAAATATACGAATTACCAAGTCTTCCAAATATGTCAAATATAGATTTTATAAACATGAATAACCCGCAGTATGGCTTAAACAATTGTTTCAAAAATTCATCATTTTCGGATGTATGGTAATGAAACGCCGGTTGTAAAATTATTGGATTGAAGAGAAAATTCAAGTAGCACAACTTATATTAAAAGATTTTAGTGGAAAGTTTCATCTGATACGTACTCAAAATCCACTAACCTCCGGAATAAATTTAGTAATATATGTATAATAATTATTATAATATTAAAATTGTTTAATAAGATACAAATTTTAAGATACAAACTTTTAATTCAAGAAATTACCTGAAAGCCCTTCCAGAACTGAATTTTCTTGTTATGGTTTTGGTGAAAATCTGGATGACTTCATGTTGATAGTTTTCAAAATCAGCAAATTCTCTATATTTAATCCTTTAACTCCTAGGAGGAGTATAGGGCCGTAAAGGCAAAGCTAATACTCTATATGGGCTTAAATCCAAAGTTTTAATTTAGTGTCTGATGCACTTATTTTCTTTTTGTCATTTTACGAGTGAAATATCTTCATCTTCAAAACAAAAATGATAAATGGTAAATGAAGGTATTAACCCATTCCTTGATACTTTTTGTTTTTGGAAATGTTTAGTGTTGTATAGGACTTTTTGTGAATTAAATAATTTAAAATTGTAACTAAGAAAGGTGTTGGCATTTATTAATTTAAAATTAACTTAGCTAAGTTTTAATAGAAAATATTCATATAGTCGTTTAGACCTTAACACAAATTTTAGTAATCAGTAATGTGGGTTTAATGACGTTATGAAAGATAACATTTATTTATTTTATTAGTCGAGTGTATATAAAATTGTTTTTAACAGTTAATTTAGGGAATATTCAAAATTTTTATGGAAATTAACTGCCACGGAAGAAATGTCACTCGCCTGGATGCCAGCCATGCAAAATTCAGAGTAAAGTAAGTAACTATCGAGAAACAAGCTAGAAAGGGTCCCGTAACTTATTTCTTAAAACCCAATTAATTTGAGTTTTTATTTAGAGTAAAACTTAAAGATTGTTGGGGTCTAACGTTAGGAAGTGACCTTGCACTCCGGCTAAGATCTTGTTCTGAACACTAAAGATCAAGTTCAACACGTCATAACATAATTCGATTTGGGGAGCTATTTTACTAGGGGTTAAAAATTGTAATAAGTAAGAACAGAAAAATAGAAATTTCTTTTGGGTTTGGGCATGATGGTCAACTGACTAATACACACTGTCAGAAAAAGTAAGCAATTTATAGAAGTAATATAGACCTGTTTTTAGCAGAACACTATATACTATACACTATTAACTGAGGATTTATTTAAACTATATCTAAAAGAAGAATACAATTTTTTTGTGCAAAAATTTAAAAAATATTATTATTTTTTTTTTGATTTTAAAAACTTATTTTATTTTACCACAATTTGTCAGAAATAGTTGTGTTTGAAAAATGCATATAACTTTGTGACAAAAAGTATCACCAAAGGACATGAAGTGCTTGTTCATTATGCTTAAAATAAAAACTTGACAATTATTTCAACAATTTTGGCAAGTTTTGTTTTCATCCAAATGAAGTGTTATTGTGTATGAATTTATTAGAATGGAATTGACTAAAATAATAAAAATGTTAAGCAAAAATTATTTGGAAACTATTTAAGTCCCTCATCAATTATACAAACTCTGCAGTGGAGCATAGAAGAACTTTGGGTATTTCACAATTCCAAAAAGAAAAGGAAACAAAGTAGGAATTTAACATTTTAAAAGTTATTTGGTCAATTTTTAAAAGCAATTTTCATTTTCATTTAAAGTGTAGAGAATTTAATGAATTTGGACTTGTAAATATTTAAATCTTTTGAATATCAAATGTGTAATTTGTGCTTGATAAACCTCAAATATTTTCTTTTGCATTCGGAATTAAAAATGAGAATACTATGTAAATTACAATGTGAAATTAACAATAGAAAGACACAAATACAAAAAATGTACAAAAAAAGAAATTTAAAATTTTTCGTAAAACTCATAGTAAATAATACAAATGAGAGGTGAAATGTGAAATCCCCTTGAGCGCCAACTGAAAACCACAAAAAGATACAACTGCAAAAACAAG